TTTATCATATTAGATTGAAAAATAAATAAAACTTTGATTATTGATATGTGTTATCATTGTGCACTATTTTTTTTCCTGACATAGCAGTTCCAAAGGCTGTTCTATCCATTGAAACTTACATGAAGAATAAGGCGGGAAAATTTAAATAAAAAAACAAAATTGCGGAGCAAAGGGAATAAAAATGTAAATATAAGCTTAAATTATTTTTTTTGAAAGATCCCTCTCATAACTGCAATGGTGTGTGCAAACAAATTTTAATAACGCGCTAACACGCATTACTCATTTTTTTTGCACCCCCCATCCCCCTCCTCTATTTAAAAACGATCGATTGTCTTAATCACTGAGAAGCTTAACTTGCATGAAATTATGATGTGTTTTTAAATTTTACTGCACTTTCTAGGAACGTACATGTATTCATCTATTTTTTTTTTTTTCCCCGGAAAGGGGCGTGTGTTTAAATTGGTCAATATTATACCTACATGTTTTAATTCATGCGTTTTTCTGATATTTAAACTGTTAAATATAAAATAAAATTTATATAGATACTTAATAATAGTTTTTAACGTTCTAAAAAAAAAATCCATTAAAGATGGACATATGAGATTCCATTTATTGTTCCTTCATCACAAAATACTTCAATGTGGGAACTACGGTATAGAAGCAAAACTACAAACGTCCTAGCTAGTAAGCCCCATCTTAAAAAATTAAGACCCATCGAATAAGAGGCTCGATATTTTGAGTCCGAAGTTTATTTAATATAATACAATAAAAGTAGCATCGTTTTTGAAAGTGGTGGGGGGGGGGGGCTGAGAAAAAACATACTTACATGTACCTAAAAAGTTGACAAGCAAAAAAAGGAGGCCACAGGAAAAGATGCCCAAAGTTGACAGTCCTATTTCGGGGGGGGGGGGGGGGGGGGGTAGGTTACTTTTTAATGCAAATTTTTCCTGTACCAATTGCCTGCAGTATGAATAAAAACTTAAGGAGTGGATCTCATCTTTTCAAAGAAGCGGTAACTGACCACTGGCACCCCAGCGTTACCAATTTAACACCATCAGCAAAAGTTGGTCTGGTAGAACCAGACGATGTTTATTTATGACAAATCTTATGAGCGTGTCAGGGATGGGAGTGAAAAGATGTTTGATAAGAAGTAACTGACCCTTTGAATTTACTAGTGGGCTCTCAGATAATATACTTTTTTGAATGGCAGACTCTGGCTAATAATATATACCGATATAGAACAATTATTTCCGAATATTTACATGTACAATCAACATACCCGTTGCATAATAGCACATTCTAGTTGCAACGTGTGTTGTCATGGTCCAAAGAGCTATTTATGTATTAAAAAGGGATGAATCCTCCTGAAAAGACAAATTGTATATCTCTCTTTACAAGATAATTTGTGCATACATCTAATTTGTCCGAACAAATACTAATCCGTCCGAACAAATATCTAATTTGCCCAACATATTTCTAATTCGTCCGAACAAATAACTAATTCGTCCGAACAATTTTCTAATTTGTCCGAACGAATATCTAATTTGCCGTACAAATAACTTATTTCCCCGAACGAATTTCTAATTTGTCCGAACCGTAATAACGCGGCGCCGTAATAACGCAATTGATTTAGATTTTGTAACTAACGGAAGAGTTCTATCTTTATATAAAGTAATGATACAAATAATAAGTTCTTATAATTTTAGTCTAACAATTTTCATTGTACATACGCCATATATGGCTTTAAGTATACACTTAAAATTACTTTCTTTTTTACAGAAAACCAATTAGATTATGTACATAAATTGTGTATACTAAGTATACTTGTATCACTCAAGAATTTTTATGTTTCTTATAATAATTTTAAAAGATTTAAACTTGAAAATGGTATTTAAATATAAATTAATTTTAGAAAATTTTATCTGATTTTTTTTTAACAAACTCTCTCATCTCATTCTGTAATGAAATTATGTTCTATAAATTTCAGTTGGACATGGATCCTATCAAAAGTACCCAAGATGTCATCAGGTGTGACCTTTTAAAGCCTACAGTGCAGAAGTACTGTGATTTCTGTCATGTCAACCTGTGCCTCTCTTGTATAGGAAAACATATTTCTGATGATTATGACAAACATAAGGTTGTCCAATTCCAACACAGAAAATCAACCTTGATTTATCCTAAATGCACAACACATCAAACAAAAAAAAAATGCAAATTTCATTGCAAAGACTGCAACACTTCTGTTTGCTCTTCATGCACTGCAATTTCTGATACACACAAGGGGCATGCCTTTTCTGCTCTTTTGGATATCTATAAAGAAAAAAGAAAAGTCATTACAAAAGACACAGAAGAATTAGAAAATATTTTGTCTCCAACCTATGATGGAATAGCTACTGAGTTAGAAACTCAGATAGCTAACTTAGATGGAGAATATGATAAACTCATAACATATGTGTTAAATCAGGGTGAAGAATGGCATAGACAAATTAAAATCATTATGGACAAAATGAAAGCAGAAATTGAAGACATAAAAGTGAAACACATGAGCATCCTAAAAGAACACTTGGATGAAATTAAAAGTATACAAAAACTTATTGAACAGACACAGATAAATCTGAGTAAAATTGAAAATAAATGAAGTATCCAAGACAATGGAATACAGTTCTAAAAACAAAGACTTAAGCAAACTTCCTTCCAGAGTTCAGGTATCACTGCCAACGTTTAGTCCAAAGACAATAGATTCAGAACAGCTTTACGAGTTGATTGGACTTTGTCACCATTATAACAGCAAAAGATGAAAATAGTTACAGTCTGAAGGAAGCAGAGACATCAACCAAAGAACTGATGACGGAACCAAAACTTATCCTTACTATTAATACTGGGATGGAAAAAACTTCAGTCTATTAGCTATAACAGTGACAACGAAATCTGGACAATAGACGCGACAGCAGAGATATGAAATACTTTAATATTTAAGGCTCAGTTATGAAAACAATCAAAACCAGATCAGCCCCATGGCCAAATGATTTAGCCGTTTCAAAAGATGGGGATCTTTTTTCTGACGGAACACAAGGAGTGTCAATAAAGTAAAGAATGAACACACAGAGGAAGTTATCAGGTTACAGGGCTGGGTACCTATCAATCTCTGTGTCACCTCCTCTGGTGATCTCCTGGTTACCATGCACAAAGATGACGAAACACAATCCAAAATTGTCCGCTATTCAAACTACAAAGAGAAACAAACAATCCAGTTTGATGATAAGGGTCAATCTCTGTTTTTAGGAACTAACTCAATTAAGTACATCACTGAGAACAGAAACCTAGATATCTGCATAGCTGACTGGGAGGTATTTTAGTAGTGGTCAACAAAATTGGAAAACTCCGATTTCGATACACTGGTCATCCTTCTGCTACTGGAGGTAGACCATTTAAACCTTTTGGGATAAAACCAACAGTCAAAGTCAGATTCTGACAGCAGACTGTGATAACCATTTTGTTCACATCCTAGACCAGAATGGACAATTTCTCAGTTGTATTAAAAACTGTGATCTGAAGAATCCCTATGGATTGTATGTGGACAAAAAAGATGATGTGTTTGTTACTGAGTATTATAGTGGAAATGTTAAGAAAAAATATTAAAATAACCCAAACCTATCAAATATACAGCAGGCTGTATTCATAAAAACATCATTACCCTACAACTTGTTCAAACATTAACTTAGTGAAATGTAGTATTTTAAATTGAAATGAATTTGATCAGTATAAATACATTAAAATAAGCCAACACTATTTCTGACTGTTTGTGTTGTTTTCATTGCATGCCGTCTCATTGGGACACCCCTTAGATACCCCCCCTGCCGTTACATCTCCTTTCAGACTCTTACAAATGCCTTCGTCTTTTTAATCAAATAAAAATTATCTGCTTCTTACAACCTATATTCACATCGACAAGATCATTTTTCAGAATCATGATTAGGAGACAAAACCTCTGCTACGCATTGTCAAAATATTTGTAAACAAAATTGTTTAGTGGAAAGAAAGATCTGGCTAGTTAAGGATAGGTTAATACAGCGGGTGTGAAATAAAATGCCAGAAATGGAATCAATAAGAAGTGGAACAAAATCTAAGACCTTCAAATTCTTCCAAATTGTACAACAGCATTATTTTGCATTTACTTTTGACATCGTTCTTTCATTGAAATTGCTTTACACATCGGAGACATTGTTATTTTCAATCATGCGCTGTTTTACGTCCCCTTCAAAGATGTTTCACTTACAGAAAGAACTCATCTTATACTGATGATGAGCCTAACAATTTGACCTTTACTCGGAACTCAGCAGTGAGGAATCTTTATCCTACTGTGGCACTGGTTTTTAAGGTCTCATCACAAATACCAGCAACTCTCACTTCATAGTTTTTAGCACATGGCGAAGAAACAGTTGCTATCCATTTTTTTATCACTTAGGTCAGTATGTGCTGAGATTTGAACTCACAACTTCTCGATCATGGAGCATGAGCGCTCTACTGACTGAGCGAACGGTAAATTCATGAAGAATCAGTCCACGGTTTTGGGGGCTAACCTTAACAAGCTCTCACTTTTGATCTCAGTATCACAAAATACTACCAGGATTTTGGAAAAGTGAGACCGAGGGCTCATTTAAGATTTTGGCCTCAGAGCCAGGTGCCATGGAGAATTAAGATCACGTACCAGTGTATGGTCACACCCGCGGTGTTCTCATTGTCATGATAGGGCAAACAGAAACTCCGTATAAAACAAATAGTTTGTAAATAATAATCAAATAATTTTTAAAAATTTCAGTCATGCGACTTAATGATTTTTCCAACAAGGGGTTTTTTGACCATGGGATTTGAAAGATTTTTTTTAATTGAGATGGTTGATATCCTTTTTTTTCACCAACTTGATTGTCAAGAGCCTGCCTCTTTTTAGAAATTGTGGTACATAGAAAATGCCTCTAAGCTAATGGAAAATATATTAAACTTTTCACTGAAGTGATAAGTGTATATTGCTACATAAATAAGGGAATTTGACATTAGAAAGGTAAACCGTTGAAAACACCATGTTTATCATACATATTTTCGTACGGTTATTATTAACCTCTTCTTTTAGAAAAAGATGTTTCAGACTCTGTGGTATAAAGGAAAAAATAAAGTAAAGTAGGATTGAAAGTGTATATTGTTAATCGAAACAGCGTCTTATACAGCGATTTATTCCTGCAAATATAAATGTTGAATTGAAGGTCAAGCAAGAGATTACTTTTTTTTTGAAAGATTTTTTAAAGAATAAATTGTGCTTAATAATGATTTCACAAATACGTTTGCTGCAAATAAGGCGCAATTAATAACCATGAGAATTCCGAGATTGATATCCAGAAAACATCAATAATAAAAACCCATAATATATAAATATTTATTTAATTTTACTTCACTTTAAAAATACCTAAACTACAAGTTTTCAACAAAACGCTGAACTCCTTCAAAGTTTATATATAAAAGCAATCTGATTAATTTAATTAAGGAATAACTGTCTTATTTTTCGATTTCATGATGTGATCAATCAATTGGGTTGCATGATAATTTGCATAAACGCCTTCGGCGTTTTTTAAAAATTTATAGAAACCAATGAAATGAAATTGAAAAATCTGACATTTTTCCTTATTTTTACATGCTTTGATTCCACCAATCCACGTACTCCAAGCCCTTTTTCTGTCTAGCTGTTTGTCCCACCCTGCACGTTTTTTTTTGGAACCGCACCAATACATTGATGGAGAAATAAAGTACATTTACATTTTGTAATTTTATCTCGGACAAAGTCATTGGAAATGTAAATATAAGGTGATGATAACGAACAGTGATCATTTTTAAAAATCTGTAAAAAATACAGATATATGAAAAGGGCATTAAACACGGACCTTGGGGTTTCCAGAGATAGGATAAGGTGGCTATAGGAGAAGTAAAAATCCCCCGTTGACCCGTCACACTGGCATATTTTAATAAGTCAATTATAGAAGAAGTACTCCAGCCAGCTCCTGACTGAAAAAAAAGACGAAAATGATATAATAATTATTTGCTTATAAGATCATTATAAGGACATTGAATTAACAAAATCCAGTTGTATATGTGGCAATACACGCTGTAGCATCAAGTTATTAGTGAGTGACATGCGTGGTAAGTGTCAGGGCCCCGCTTGAAAAAAAAAATCTTAATCGAGGAAGACTTGAGTTATGAATGCGTTTGGAGATATAAACACCAAAAGAAGGTGATAGGGAATTTTGCTTTAAAAATAAGGAAAATTGTAGATAGAAATGCTAAAGTTATCTTGTTTATCATAATTTATACAGGAGTTGATAGTAATCTTAAAGAAAAGTATTTTGGAAAGTATTTTTGAATTGACACCATGCAATTTTCATAATGATATATGCATTTTTTCTGTAAACGAATGCAATTTTATATTGGATCTTTCAGAAATGAAAGATTAATGCACACAAAAAAAGTAAAAAATAAAATAAAAAAAAAATCAAACAAAACTCGACTGTGAACTGAAAATTTACGCATTTGCTTGTGTTTTATAAATCATTCTAAAAACAATTATTATACCGATTCTTAAGGTCAGATGATACAAACAATTTTTTTAAGACTTAATATCATGTCAGGGGTTTAAAGAAAAGTGGATAATTTAAGATTTTTTATTCCTAAGAACTGGAAAATGAAATAGATTTGGGAAAAATCTATACTTATAAATTAACAATTTTGCAAATAAACTCTGAAACGACTGCACAAGAGTTCTTACTCAAGCCTGTAGGAATACACTAGGTATAAGATGATGTCCGTAAACTATATTCAGATTTCATTTGCAAAGTAATTATCGTAAATTTAATTAAAAGTCTACCTTCACTTTCGGTTAACAGCCTCGAAATAGCACTAACGAGAGTAAAGTGGTGGCGGATCTAATAATGGCATTAAAAAAAACTGACGAAAGCAAGTGCTTATTTATTTCATAAAACGTCATTAATGAATTATTCAATCAAAACTTGATTTCCGTGGTATAAAAGAAATAATCTCTGGGATTGATTTCAAAACAAAATGTGCAAATCCTTTCCGTTTATGTCCGATTTCACTATTTGTTGAAAGTTCTAGAAAGTCAGGTGGCATCGAACCTGATTTAAAAAAAAAAATCGAGGCGATTGTTTATCATGAATGAACATGGAAATAAATGGTAACACAATGAATTTGTGAATATATCTTAGTTAGTTGTGCAAATGTTTCATCAAAAAAAAAAAAATTTTCGATCCATTCCAAAAAATTTTTTGAAAGCAAAAAAAAAATTTCGTTGGGTAGGGTGTAATGGATGACTTTGAATGATTCTAATGTCTTTTATCCAATACCACATAGATCAGTGTTTTCGAGGAAGGTTTAATTTTTTCCTGGGGGTGGTGTCCACTTTTACTTGGTTTGTTATATACATAAAATAACTCTGCAAATTCCAGGGGGGGGACCCCAATCCGTGCATGTACAACAGACTAAAGTTGCTTTATAGCATGCAAGAAGAAGAATCCTTTAATGAAAATGATATTTGTAGAAGTAAAGAAAAACAACAAAATATAAGGGAGTGTATTTCTAAAAATCATTTATTTCTCCTCCTATACTATTGTGTAACTTTGAAGTATTTCGTCATACTATAAGCCTATTCCTGTGGAATAAATCTCAGATAGTTTTTAGAAAATATAGTTCTAGCTGTTAGCAGTAAAAAAAAATGAATTTCCCCCGCGCTTGCGCGGGATTTCAGCTAGTGTTACTAATATTTCAATAAAATTACAAATATGGACAAAACACACTCAGTAAAGGTTTAAAGATGAAAACAAATTTCAGAATATATTAGATTGGTGCTAAGCGTGTAATATAAACTTTAGAAAAATATACCAAGCCAGTGAATTTTATTAGGAAATGGTAAAAATCAGTTACGTGATATTGCTGATTTTTTTTTTAAATTTTGTTTTTCCTCATTAAATTCATCTAGCTTGGTATATTTTTCTAAAGTTTTTACACTTTTGCACCGAGCTAACGTATTCTAAAATTTGTTACCAGCTTTGAACCTTTACTGAGTGTGAATTAACTGTATTTGTTATTTCATTGAAATATTAGTAATAAGTCTATTCATTTTTCAGTTCTTAGGAGAAAATATTCTACGAATTATCCACTTCTCTAAACTCGTGACATGATATAAAGTCTCCTCAAAAGAAAATAAATATGTTTGTATCATCTGTCCTTAAAAAAGAACCAATTATTAAGATTTAAAGAATGTACCAATGATTAAAATTCTTTCAAGTTTCTTTTGATT